ACAATTTTACTGGATATAAATGTGTATATTTTACCAGTGTTTAATCTTTTATTTCTTACTTGGTTGCATTGATATCAGCATATATGCTAAAAATTATATATACAAATATAACAATCAGGGAACGGGAAGACTTATAATCAAAATATAATATGTGCAAAATTTTAAATGAAAATTAAAATATACTTATATAGAAAAATTTTGCTTTCTTATTAATATCTGCATTAAGTTTTTAGTTGCCTTTTTAATTGTTTGATAGTAGTCTACATTTATATAATGAATTTCAGTGATCTTTAATTTCATCTATTTCCCTCTCTCACCTCTCTGCCTCTCCTGCTGGAGACCTCAATTTTCTTACTTTTCATATCTTCCTATTCTTTGTGGCCCTTCCGATGTGCTTAGAGTTCCTTGCCAAGCGCAGGTGGGAGGCTGCTTCCCAGAGCAAGAACAATTCATCGATGACTACATCACTGAAGAAAATGATTCCCCACCTCTCAACAGCTGTTAATTGCTTATAGTGTGTCAGAAGTAATGAGGCCTCGAGGCTCCCTCCCTTAACTGTGATGAAGTGTGAGGAAGTGCAGCCTTGTGTGAGTCTGTTGCAGATAATCATGAATGCAGTGACTGTACCCCCAGAAGATATCTTTTTTCTGCCCATTTCCCCGTCCTCTGGATCTTACATTCTTTCTGCTCCCTCTTCTATGATGTTCCCTGGGCTTAGAGGGACCGACATAGCTTTCCAATTTAGGACCAAACACTCAACTATCTAAACATTCTTGGACTTTTGGCCACTTATGGGCTTCTTCGTTAAACACTGCCCAGAAGCTTCTCTGATGAAGACTGGGCATAGCACTTACCTATGGGTATAATTGAGTATTTAGAAGACAGTAAGAGAGCATGACAATTTAGTAAAATAATAATATAAATTCTCTGCTATGGCCCAGGACCTCCTCAGCCAGGGACTCTTGACTAGATTTACAGAACCAAGTATGTGTTCCCTTCTGTGAAGTGAGCCTCACGTTCAACCAGAGAGAAGTTGGTGGTCCACCTAATCGTCATGCCTGTGTTATACTAATTGATACATCTTGCCTCACAGGTCATTACTGAAGCTTGCAGGATCCACAACAGTAAGACTGTTGGTTACTTTTCTCCTCCAGAAGCTTACATAAGCACCTTCTAGTACGTATGAAAACTAGGTAGTATGGAGGAAGCTATTAGCTCACTTTAGCTTGATTTAACTATGTGTCTTATGAAATAGCCAATTTTTATCAATATGTCAAATGTAACTTAAATATATCTCTTATTTTCAGATTCCATACATTGGTGTTAAATGGGAACTTACCAAAACTCCTAATTATGATAGTTTATTGACAACTTGACAAGATATAGAATAACCTATGAGATAAGCCTATATCCGTGAGGAAGGAATTGCCTAGATTCAATATTCTCTTCCTGTGCCTGTGAAGAGTTCTTTGATTAGGTTAGTTAAGATGAGAAGACCCATTCTAAATGAGGGTGGCACCACTTGATGGCCTTGGGTCTCAAACTACATAGAGAGGAGAAAGCTAGCTGACTGTTAGCATTTATCACTCCGTTTCTCTACTGTGGAATCTTCTCCCCTTGAGTGCTCTGCATGTATGTTTACAGCCAGTTGGAGGTATAATTTACATAGCAAGGAGTTCATCTGAATGAAGTGTACAACATACAAGATTTCAGTATATTGATAGATTATGCAACCGTCCCTGTAATTCAGAATTTGAATATTTCCCTTATCCCCAGTAGAACCTCGACTTCATTACCAGCTATTTCTTTCTTGGTCTCCCTTCTACAACTACTCCACGCTTAGACCATTACTTACTGTCTGTAGTGGCTGGCTGTACTGAACACTTCATATATACAAATGGAAATAGGTAATATGTGGGGGTGGGGGTTGCCACTCTCTTCATCCACTGAGTATGATTTGTAGGTTTATCCTTGGCAGTTTGAATCAGATGTTCATCTATACATTCCATAATTACTAGAACATTTGGGCATAGATACTTATGAGAAAGAGTTCAACACACTTCATCTACACACTGAACATCGTATCTTATTGCCTTAGTTAAGATTTCCATTGCTGTGAAGAGATACCACAACCAAGGCAACCCTTATAAAGACTAACATTTAATTGGGGATGGCTTACAGTTTCAGAGGTTTAGTCCATTATCATCGTGGTGGGAAGCATGGCAGCTTCCAGGCAGACTTGATGCTGGAGGAGCCATCTGTCAGGGGCCATATTCACTCCAACTACCATACATAGTTTTAATTTTTGTTGCTTTGAAATAAACAGGTTAAACTCCATATTGAGACTTAATGGACTATACTGAGGTATTTTATTAGTTCTTAAGTTTACACTTGGTTCTTTTTCCATAATCCTTCTTAGATACTCTTTTCTTCTGAGGTCCACTCTATAATAGTTTGTGACTAAATCCTCCCTTGGTTCTCAAAGTCAGGATATGGACAAACTGACTTTTTTGGCCCAGGTTAAAAGTTATTTTTCCGCAGCACTTTGAAAATGCTTATCTGTGTTTTCCAGTATCAATTATTGATAAAAAAATATCTGTCAGTCTGCTATTATTGCTAATTTCATAGATTTGAGACAGGGTGTAGTTATTCTCGATGCTCTACGTTTTTGATATAAATTGTCTATTGATTGGCTTTTGTTTATGCTGATCAACTCTTAGAATGGCTAACAGCTGTTGTTACTGTAACAAAATACCTTCCACAAGAAACTTAAAAAGAAAAAAAGTTAATTTTGTCTCGTGGTTTTGGATAAATCTTTTTCTTGAGGCCTGAGGAAAGGCTGGATATCATGGTGGTGGGTGTGAGTGAAGGATGAGACTTCTCACCCTGCTGTGACTAAGAAACAAAGAAAGAGACATGAAGGAGCCAGGACATGCTCTCTGTGACTCACCTTCTACAGTTCCACTATCTTCCAATAATATATTGAATTATATTCCAATAATATATTGAATTATATTCCAATAATATATTGAATTATGGATTGGGAAATGGATTACTCCATTTATAAAGACAGGATCCTCACTATCTAATCATTTCCTCACGGTCCCATCACTGAACACTCCTTTGCACTGGGATCAGACCTTCAAGGTATGCATAACATAGTCTAATGTTAATTATATCACTGCGTTTAGAAAATTGCTAGCAATGATCTAACTATTGTATCTGAAATTTCCACTCTCTGTGATCCCAATTAGGTGAAGCAGGGAGATTTTCATAAGTCCAACTTCAACTCTTTATATGCATAATATGCAGATATGATCATATATATATATACATATATGTATATATATATATACATATATGTGTGTGTGTGTATACACACAGAGCATGTGTATATGTATATATAGCATATATCACTGTCTCCTTACATAACCTTCATAGATCTGTATTTCATCGTGAGCTATAAGTCCTCGGGCAATGATTGGCACTAAGTGTTCAGGAGCCTCCCAGCAGTGCCCGAGGTCTGTAATACCCAATTGCTCCACCTAGAGAGGGGATCAGTACTCCACTGTCTGGTGTGGGAAACTTCTGGTCCTATCGGGAGCTAAACTCTCATACCCCCGTTTGTATCTAGAACCTATAGTGAAAATGCCAACTGATGAGCTCTCTTATCTTCCACTTATGGTTCATTTTATTTTGATTGCTTATTTTTATTGTCTTGAGCTTGCTTGAATTTTTTTTTAAAAAAACCTGCTCATCGTTGTTATGTATTTGAATAGAGAAAACTCATAAAGAGAGCTGTGGTTAAAACTAACCCTAGCTTCTTGCTTTATTCAGCACCTTCTCTGTTTCCTCGGTTCCTACTAGACTCACCTTCTCCTGGGGCTCTACTTACAAAAGGCCACTGACACTAAGTTCTTAGGTGTTATTATACCAACTACACTTAAGAATACCATCAGCTATTTTGTTATTTTAATACCATAATGATGATTTGTTAAAAAAAACAAATAAATCATATATAAACAGAAAGAATAAGTAATTTTATAAAAATTCATTGTCTATCCATCAACTAAAGAAAACCATCTTCTTTCTTTTAGATGGCCTTTTATTGAAATATTTCCTCTTGTTTCTTCTTAGCTAGCTGGACACGCCACTGCACCACTGTTGATGTCATTTATGACTTCATGAGGATGGCAGGCATCCACATTACGTCTCACAGACTGTGTAGTACCCAGGTTCTCAATATTTCCAGAAAGCTCTCTGGCTAAAGAGCATTGTCACATATGCTAGGCAATGTTGACAATCTCATTAAAAGTGACATTTCCACTGTGCTTGATGTTCTCCTGCTTCTTTTTGTCTCTTGGTGGCTCCTTGAGGGCTTTGGTTGTCAAGCAGAGGCAGAGGACACCACCTAAATCTGGGCCTGTCTGTTCTGGATCCTCAGTGTCATGCTAATCCTCAGATTTTTCCAGTCACTGGTTGCTTTGGTAATACCATGACCAACGTTTTTTTAGGAGACAGACCCAAGGAATCAATTTTGGTAGCTGAGGCAGATGTGGTAGCAACCTTGCCTCTGGAGAACCTCACATACACAATTTTGATATTCTTAGGGTCAAACTTGGGTGGCATGGTGTAGGCTGCTGGCATCTGATGAGGCTCAATTTGGAAGACTGAAGAGAAAACTGTATTCTAGCCTCTTCTGAGCCAAAAGCAGAAAAGCAAGTAAACCATTTTCAATTGGGCTAACTTTTGAAAAGTAAGCAAAGTCATTTGCATAACAGTTGATGAAACCATGACTCTCAGTTTCTTTCCTAAAATTTAGTCTCCTTCATTAAGATGTTATTCAATGAAAAGATCTGGTTTTGTTTGTTTGTTTGTTTGTTTGAGATTGATTACAGAAGCTTGTTTCTTGAACAAAGTCACTTGTTTATTTAGTTACTTTTGTTAAAGAGAATATATGTAATAATTTCAGCAACTGTTTTATTTTATAGGGTTGTTGAGTGCAGATTGCAGGCACCATGTCTGACTCGGTGATTCTTCGCAGTGTGAAGAAATTTGGAGAGGAGAATCATGCCTTTGAATCAGATGGATCATGTAAGTGAGTTTCCTTGAGCCTTGTGTAACAAAAAGTAAAGACAAAAGTGAGACAAGCCTAGTGAGGTTTCAAAAAGCAGAGAAAAATCAACTACAAATGTGGAGCTAGTATTGGGCATGTGCCTGACATATAACCAGGGCGGGTTCTCTAGAATTCATGCTACATCTGAAAGCTAGCTCTGTGTTAAAACTCACAACGTGAGCTGAGCGAGTGCTACCATCTCCCATGAGGACCTCCTTCCCAGTAGAGTACAGTTGTTCAGCACTGATCATTTTAGTAACTTTAGCTCCGTATCATTACTAATCACCGTGGCAACAGTAATTGTTAACGGTGTCTGCTCCTTAAACAGGCCCTACCAACACTCTCCTGGCAAAAATGAGATGTTATGGGAGAGACCTTGACACATTTTAGTCCCTGGCATGTTCTAAACTGCCATTCATTCATTCATTCATTCATGAATCAAAGCAATTTATCCAATCGTGCTTCTAATCCAGTTTTCTGATTCTCAAGCCCTGTATCCTATCCACACCATAATGTCTATTTAGTCTTTTTCTGCAGTTGTATTAAATGTCATCGGAACCAGGAAATGGTGGCCATGGTAACAAATATTCCTTGGCATTCTTTTCTCTGTGCCTTCCTTACGATCCTGTAGACACTCATTTCCATTTCCTACTGACATTTGCTCTACATGTGCTGACAAAAAATAACATGTAGCTCCGCCTTATGGATTCTGATGGCGATGAAGTATTAGACATATCACAATCAATTTGTGATCTGTTAAGTAGATACATTTTGATAAACCGAAAATGTTTCTAAGGAACCAAACTTTAAATTAATTTTCATTTTAATAGATAATTTAAAAAAAACATATTTACTTCAGCTAATTTAGAAATGGTAATTTCTATCAAGCACAGTGGCTCACATCTGGAATTCTAGTCCTTGGGAGACTGAAGGAAGAAACTTGCCATGAGTCTGAGTTTGAGGCTACTCTGGACTATGTAGCCCCCAAACCAGCTTACATTACAGAGTGAGAGACCCTGTCTCAAAAAAGGGAAAGTCTTCCTTTTGATATTCAGAAAATACAAATATTCTATGATCTGGAAAAATATCCAAATATATAGTCAAAGCAGCAGGAGGTAGGGAGAGAGGGAAGGATGATAAAGAGATAGAAAGAGGCAGTTATTATTCTAAAATATTTTATGAATAAAAGTACTTCCTAGAAATGCTTTTGGTTGACTAATGATTATGATTGTGTTGCATTCTGACTCGATTATTAATCTCTTTATATGTTGTTTTCATCCTGACAGATAACAATGATAAGAAATCAAGGTGAGTGACCGTTTCAACAGCACAGCATCTTCTCTAGAAAGGTTTCAGAATAGTCCTATGAATATAGAGGAGAGCGTTTTCTTATACATTACTTACCATGCATAGAAAGTATAGAACACTTTTTCTTTTTTCTTTTTCTTTTTTTTCTGAGACAGGGTTTTTCTGTGTGGCTCTGGCTGTCCTGGAACTCACTCTGTAGACCAGGCTGTCTGAGAACTCAGAGATCCACCTGCCTCTGCCTCCTGAGTGCTGGGATTAAAGGCATGCGTCACCACTGACCGGCTGCTTTCTTTTTCTCTTTAAAGCCTTGTGGGATAGCCCTTCCTGATTATGCCAGGTTTCCTCCCTTGCATCTCCGTCCACCACAGAGCTTCTAGCCCAAACAAACAGGAAAAGAGCTGGACAATAGTGTGATTTCATGAGTTCCAGGAGGTCCTCCAACTACCCCCCTCAACCCCCAGCCCCTGACGCCTCTTCCCCCTGTGACTAATAAAAACCTACGGTTGAATTCTTTGAACTTTTTCTTCAGCACTCAAGTTTGAGTTTCCATGTAAGGAAGTGTTGATGCAGGATTAAATGGGGGCTGCAATAGAACACAGACATCGTCAATTCTGGCCTAGACGATGGATGGTGGAAGACTGATTTAAGAAGTTTGAAGTATTTCATGACAGAAGGCTGCAGTAGTACCGGTAAAATTAGCACTGTGCTAGAAGAAATCAGGTGACCCTGATCTTCTAAGAGTCCTATTGGGAGTTCAGAGAAGAAACATCTAGTATAGCTCCTTCACCGCAAGTAGGACATTTGTTTTTCATTTTTTAAATATATAATATATTTTGATCATGTTTTCTACCTCCAATTCGCACCACACTCTCCCCATCTCCCTCCTACCCACTCTTCCAACCTTAGTTCTCTCTCACTCTCAAAGAAAAAAAAAACTTGCACAAAAATGAAAATAACAAACAAAAAACCCAACAAGACCAAGCGTGTCAAAACAAAATTAAAGAAATCAGAAAGCCCACAGCAAACAAACAATCATGGGATTAATTTTATGTCAGTCAGCCAGTCCTGGGCATGAGGGCCTGCTCTGTACTGTGATCGATAAACCCAGTGATACTCTACTGGAGAAAAAGGATTGTCTCTTTGCCAGAGGGAATCCACTGCAATAGGTTCTTGGTTAAGGTCCAGAGCCTTTGTCCACTTCTTCCTCTCAGTGCTGGGACCCTGTCTGGTTTGAACCTGTGCAGGTCTCCAGGGTGCTGGACACAGTCTGTGTGAGTTCCCATGTGCATCCCTTTTGTTGCACTCCTGGGTGTCCTCCATCCCCTCTGGCTCTTACAATCTTTTTGCAAAATAAATCCCTAAGCTCTGAGGGGAGGGGTTTGATGATTGTTCCAAAGTCTCTTCCTCTTTTCAGGTTTTCCGTTTTGAGTCTCTATGTTAATTCCCATCTACTGCAAGAGAAAGCTTCTCTGATAAGGGTTGTGTGACGCTCTCTGATCCAGACATATAGCAGTATGTCATTAGGAATCAATGTTCCTTTAGCAGAATAATTGCAGTCCATTCCCTCTAGGCTCATGAGGAGAGTATATTAATGGGGGGAGAAAATAAACATTATAAATTTAGAAAACATTACACAGTAGATACTGAGAATGCACAACTTTTTTTTTTTCCTAAGAAAAAGAGTGAATTGGAGATGAAGATCTAAGAAGGAATGTGTGTGTCAGGGCCGATGTTATTGAAATCTTAACGATCTTGGCTAGAGAAGGTCCTGCCAAGGAGACTTAGCAGACTTAGAGTGTGAATCTGAAGTTGGAGAAACTGTATACATGAGGGTCTAAGAAAGGACATTTTGAGAGTGAGCACATTTGGCAAAGACAAATGGATGGGTGATTGTTTTCATTACAACTAGAATATATATCCTATTCTATATACATTTACTATAATTGTTCTATATATATTCTATGTATTTATATCTTTATTTGCATGTATATGTAGAACACATATAAATATATATAGCATATATAGAAATGTATTATATATAGAATATATAGTATATGTATGTATATAAATTTAGAATATACAAATGTATATACAAATATTTTATATTGCATCTCTTATTGAGTCCAGTTAATGTTGCCTAAACACATGGCCTAAAGCTGACTATTGGATTATGGGCAATCTACTATGAATCTTGCTCCTGAATTAAACAGAGCCCAGCCTCTGCTTTCAGCTGCTGTTAATTGCCTGTAGCTCTTAAACTATGTGTGCCATGTTTCAAACCTCCTCTGCCACTCCCCCCACCCCATGCTGTAATGTTGACTGTATGGCCCTGTGCAGGTTTTGTCCAGGCACCTACAGTTGTTGAGAATTCATGAGTGCAAAATACATTAAAATACTGGGTTTGGCCAGAATTTTCTAGCCAGATGGGAAATGCATACTTACTAAAGAATAATTCAGAAAAGCACCATGTAAGGAGGATTTCTCACCAGTTTTGGAAACATGACCTTTACAATGGCTTTTCTTCTCCTCAGGTTACAAGATAAGAAGAAAGGGAAAAACAATCGAGTTGGCTTCTTTGAACTGGTAATGCACTGTGCTGCTTTACTTGGTTGATTTTGCAGTTGTGAATTATTCACTCAGTGGAGGAAGAGCCAACTCATCATACTGGCAGGACTTAACTCCAGTGATCAGCCATGTAGTCATGAGCTTTACAGGACATGCTGAATAGTGATTAGAAATTCAATGCTCAGTAAACACACTGTCTAATATCAGCAAAGATACTTGGAATAGAATCTGTGGATGCATAATTATAATCTTAATAAAGAAAACCTTCACAGTAATTCCCAGAACAATAGATCATATATAGACATTGTGATGAGAAGTCTTTAGAAATTCCATAGCTTATGTATCTACCACAAATTTGTATAGGATGGACGCATTTCTTCTTCTTTTTCCTTTTCTTTCTTTCTTTTTTTTTTTTTCCAAAACAGTGTTTCTCTATAGCCTTGCCTGTCCTGGAATTGCTCTGTAGACCAGGTTGGTCTCCAACTCAGAGATCTACCTGTGTCTGCCTCCTGAGTGCTGGGATTAAAAAGGGTATGACACCATTGTTCAGGATGGAGCATTTCTAAGCAAAAATCTGCCCATTGTCCAGATGGGTTCTCAAAGCTGAGGCAATTTACTGCACTGTTGAATGTTCACTCAGTATGTCTACCTGGTAGTGGCATCTGTGGTGATGACTTGGAAGGGAGTAAAGTCAGCTCCTGACCTGATGGGGACAGATGCAAAGATTTGGATGTAATGTAAAGATCTGAGTGATGTTTTAGACAATTGACAGATAGTACTTTTACATAATTAGTGTGAAGACAGCTGCTCAGAGATGACCCCCACAAATGCCTGATGTTGAGTACTACTTATCAGGATCAAAGTGAAATTAAATAGCCCTCCTGCCCAGTTCCCCCACCCCACTCCCATCCCCCATGCGCTTTTCACGTGTAGATAATCTCTGAACCCTTTGTTTTTCAAGTTTCGATTTTCTTCATCAAAAGACATCTGGCTGATGTTTCTGGGAAGTGTATGCGCATTGCTCCATGGAATGGCCCAGCCAGGCATTCTTATTGTTTTTGGTGTGATAACAGATATTTTTGTTGAATATGACATTGAAAGACAAGAACTCAGTACTCCAGGAAAAGTATGTGTGAATAACACCATTGTATGGATCAACAGCTCCGTCAACCAGAACATGACAAATGGAACGCGCTGTGGGTAAGCTATTTTTCTTTTTGTTACTTTTTTGTTTGTTTGTTTTTGGTTTTTTTTTTTTTTTTTAAGACAGGGTTTCTCTGTATAGCCCTGGCTGTCCTGGAACTCACTCTGTAGACCAGGCTGGCCTTGAACTCAGAAATCCACCTGCCTCTGCCTCCTAAGTGCTGGAATTAAAGGTGTGCGCCACCACTGCCTGGCTTTTTTGTTACATCTTAAATTATAATTCAAAACATCCAAAGACAATACTGACTGAGTTGGAATGGCATTTACTACAGAAGAACAGAAGAACAGAAAAACAAACTTACTCGTATTGATAGGAATTCTTTAACTTTGTAGTTATTTCCATCCCTCCAGGTTTCAAAACATCAACAGACATGGCTAATCAAATGCCTACGCCAACAAATTGACCACTTGGTTCACTATAAGCCCGAACATGACATTTATTACTACTAAGAAGATAATTAAATTTCATTTGAGAGCTCCTTTCCTACCAACCATCTCTGCCTCTTCCCCCTTCCCCCCTTGGCATTGTCCTCTCTCCGTGTGTTTCATGACTTACTACATTAGAGGAATAGGAATCAATAGTTCTAGCCAATAGTTGAGTTTTCATCAAGAGGGCTGTGTGGCTGTGACAAGAAGGTAGCCCTGAAGAATTAGCCAGAACCAGTTCATTATGGAATTCAGACAAGCTCAGTCACTGTGCCGCTGTTGTTTCTGTGATACGCCCAACAGCCCACGTTGTAATCTCTGAGACTGTAGTACATGTGGGCTGACTCACTGCACTGTGGCATGGACTTTGCACCTGTTTTGGATGCAGGACAAGCTCATGGGCACGTATGAGTCCATATGCTCAAGTTCATGAGTCAAAGGCAGGGCATATCCTGCCTAGAAAGACACTTGGGATGGCTTTCTCAAATACGTTTTTATTTTTTATATTAACAAACAAAATGTTGACAGAGTTGGTTTAAACTGAGTCTTTCTAAATCATTAAAACTCTTCCATAATATCATCTACTTTGAGGATTTTTTTCATTGCTTCAATCAAAAAATTTTGAATGACAATTAAGTAGCATGAACGTGTAGAAGCATCAAGAAAGGACACACTGTTCTATGAGTCACATCCTTATTTGTGTAGTACGTCGGTCTAGCCAGTCAGACTATCAGCCATAAAATATTAGTTACAAACTAGTGAGTGCTGGATGATGTAAAGCACAAAATTTTATGTAACATATAGATTTATTCTTTAAAATTAATAAGCAGAGGCTGTGGAGATCATTTAGTGGATGCAGAGCTCACAAATATGAGGAGCTGGCACCCACATAAAAATCAAGAATGACAGAGCCTGCATCTGTAACTCCAGAGCTGAGGGAGAGGGCAGGAAGAGACAAGAAAGTTCCCAAAGCTTGATGACCAGTCAGCCAGTCAATCAGTGAGCTACAGGAGCAATGAGAAACCTTGTCTCAAAAATAAGGTGAAAATGTATGTGTGCATTTCTTACACACGTGCATATATATGTATGTATATGTGTATTGTATATCTATATATATGTATATATACTTGCACATACTGTACACAAACATTTAAAAAGTAAATTTAAAAGTTAGCAAGCCAGGTTATTGGAAATAAATTTGCTGGCGTTTGAATTTGTATGTTTCTCTAAGCTTGCAAGGATATTTTTTTCTGAGAGACTCAGCAGTTCCTATAACGAGACTGATTTCAATGAGCCCTTTAAAGCGCTTCATTTCTGTCGGAGGGCAGAAATGAACTACTTTTCTGAGAGCGCTATCACCACAGCCGCTGGTAACACTGGGCCATTAAGTCATGAAGATAAAAGTTAGAGAGGTCACATTGGGAGACGTTTCTAGTGTCTTAGCCGCCTGTAGACATTTGTTAGATGAACTGAAGAATGAGTCTAGTTTTGGTGTTTACATCACCTTGATAAGCGAAGAATCCCCTGTCGCTACTACTCATTGGCTCATTCTTATTGGGCTTTATACCTAGAACTGAATAAATGTTGCAAACTGGAGCTTTCTGAAAAGCAGTGGCCTCAGCTAAACTCACTTGACACAGATATCTAAGTGAGCATTTGGTAAAGTATGACAAGTAGATAAAGCATTCAAAATGATCATTTGTCTTCCTCATTTAAAATACTTCTATGAGTAAGCTGAAGCGGATTAGGACATACCTTTCTTAGATTATCCCTTTACCAGGAACTCTTTGACAAGGTAAATACTTTCATTACGTGTTATTGTAGTCACCACTGTGAGTACTATTATTCCTTTATCTTTTGTGGAGTGAGATCATTGTGAAAGTAGAATTGGGTGGATCCCAGGAAAAGGGAGAGAACATTTTCTCATGTGTCCTTGGCTAAAATACCTCCCAAGTTACCCAACACTTTCAAGATCCTTCCTTCCTTCCTTCCTTCCTTCCTTCCTTCCTTCCTTCCTTCCTTCCTTTCTTTTTTTTTTGTTTTTTGTTTTTTGTTTTCCAAGACAGGGTTCCTCTGTGTAGCCCTGGGGCTGACCTGGAACTCACTCTGTAGACCAAGCTGGCTGGCCTTGAACGCAGAAATCTACCTGCCTCTGCCTCCCAAGTGCTGGGATTAAAGGCGTGTGCCACCACTGCCTGGCTCAAGATCCTTTCTTGGAAAAGCTTATTGTTAAGGATACAAAATTGCTACCTTAGATGACATATGTGTTGATCTATCAGACAAGCCAATAACTTAGTGACGTATGTGTGCAAGCTGTGGCAGGAGCTCTTTGTGTACTTTTACTATACTGCATTTCATGTATGTCTTTAAACTGTTGGGTGGGATTCTTAGTTCTCTTAGGCAATTCATTTAGTTCTCTGCAATTTCTGGCATATTCTTTTGGCCACATAGACTCCGGTTCAGTATGGAAAGCACTATACATACACACACACATACAGACACACACACAAACATAGACACATACATAGACATACACATAGACACACACACACAGACACACACATAGACACACACACATAGACAGACAGTCAGACAGACAGACACACACACAAACACACACACACACACACACACACACACACACACACACACACACACACACGAGATTGCTAATATTGGGTAATACAAACCTTTGCAGTCCTGTGAGAGCTAACCACATCATCACTGGAGAACTGTTTTCTCAGTTACCCCCATGTGGGCACACTGGGATAGAAGTCTGAAGCTGTGTTCTCAAATTGATTTCAGAAATCTGTGTCCTACCTATTGCTCCCTAACTTCCCATCTGTCATACCTGGGCAACAGTGGTTGGTTTTCTGTGAGAGGCCATATAAATGGAGGCATGCAATATGTGGCCCTTTAAGACTGGCTTTTTAAAAACAGCATAATGTTTCTTTTTTGAGGTTCTCCCATGTTGTAGCACGAATCAGTATTTTATTTTTAGTTTTGACTACTTTGCTATATGGATATAATATTTTATTTCATCTTATTCATCCATTGGTGGTAATTTCAATTTTTCCTGCTTTTTTGCTATTGTAAATAATACTGCTTTGGACATTTGTGGACATATTCTTCATTTGAGCTATGAGCTACTTCGTTTCTTGTAGCTCCATAGCTCAAAACAGAATTGCTAGGTCATTCCCAGGTAATCCTGGAGGAACTTTCAGACTATTATCAAAGTGTCTGTAGCATTTGTATTCTCTGTCATAGTGTGTGAGGTTATAATCTACCTCCACTAATAACTGTTAATTATTATCTTTATTTTGATAGTGTTTATAGTAGATTAAGTGACTCCCTGTGATGTCTGGGTTCTAACCCCTGTAACCTATGACTATTACCTTATATGGAAAAAGAGTCTAAGCAGATAGTATGACTAAATTAAGGATCTAAGATGGGCTTTGTGGAACATGTCTATAATCCCAGCACTTGGGAGGCTGAGGTTGGAAGACTACTGTGAGTTCAAGGCCACTTGATCTTCACTGGAGTACCAGGTCAACTGGGATTGCACCTCCCCCATCCCACACACACAAATACAGAAAAGATTCAGTATTTACAGGTGGAAGAGGTGATCCTGGGTCATGCAGGTACACTCTAAATGCAATCATTGTTTTTAATAGAGGTGGAGTGAGACCGGACTACAGGGAGAAGAGGCAGGTGACAGGAAAGCTGGGATCAGATTGTCAAGGCACCTTCTAGTAGCCAGAAGAGGAAAGTGAGATTCTGCTCCAGAGCCTCTGGCCGTTGTAGGGTTTGTAGTACAACTTTCTCTACATGATAGTGTAGGCTCAGGGAAGCTTTCAGACTTCCGGCCTTGAGGAGGAGTTGTGTTGTCAAGTGTGTGGGACTCTGTTACAGCAGCAGTAGGAAACTTATACGGTGCCATCCTAGTGAATATGAAGTAGTATCTCATCCTGACACATTTCCCTAATGTCTAATGACACTGGACATCTCTCAACGTGTTTATTGGCCATTTGCTTACGTTCTTTAGAAATGGTGTCTATTTAAATTGTCCTTTACCAAACTGGATTAGGTGTCTTTTTATTATTGAGTTGTAAGAGTGTATTTTTCTAGTTATAAGTCCTTTACCAAATGCAAAATTTTCCTAAAATTTTACCATTCTTTAGGTTATCTTTTCAGTCTGTTGATGGTAGCCCTTTAATCCCTAAAGCTTTAATTTTGGTGATACCTACTTTATTTCTTATTTTGTTTCTTTTGGGTTTGGCATCATATCTAAGAAAACTGTCCAAGGTCATGAAAATGCAAACATATGTTTCTTGTTATATGACTTTTATAGTTCTGCTTATATATTTAGGTCTGTGTGAACCACAGATACACAGATACACAGGTACACACAGTAGATTCTTCTCTATGATAGGAGAAAGGACTTTGATGACTTCTTTTCTTGACATAGTCAATCACTTAACATCATTTGTTAGTAAGACTATTTCAACATTTTTTCATGTTGCATAGTATCAGAATCCATGTCAAAATCAGTTTATACTGAACATCAGAGT